GGGGTCGCTATGAGTCAGGGCCGACTCGATGGCAAACAACAACAACAACAACATACTCTACCCAATCCCTCTACAACAGGGACACAGAAAAGCTGAGTGAAACAGATACGAATAAGCATACTGGAATTCTCAGCATCAAATGAGAACATAAACAATTGAACTGATTGCTGATTGCACAGGAGCTAAGTCAGTGACAGGGGAGAGAAAAAAAGGATGCAACTGGCTGAAGTGAGGCCATTTCAAGTATAGAAGCATCATATTTTGATGATGAGGAGAAAAAAAAGTCACAGAATCCACACAGTGATAACAACACAGTATAGAGAAATCAGAATGAATTCAAGGTGAGCAAAAGACACACAGGAGCTGGTAGAGGAATGTGCAGGGAATTGGGTCAGGCTTACAGCAGCACATGTGGCTATGGAGAGAAAAGGGAGCAAGAAAGGGGAACAAAAAATCTTTCCACTAGCAGATACTGGACTTTTGACCTGGCAAAAGGCCAAAACAGTGATGGTTGAAGGAAATGAGCTCAGGACATTATCTTGCTTGACTGAATCTAGGCAAGAGCTGAATCAATAGCTGCATGTGCCAAAAGGAAGTAACACCCACACAAATGAATTGATATTGGAGGGATATGCTCTCTGACCTACCAAATGCACACTTTCCCTGAACAAAGGGATAAATAGTCTTTCCAATGCCACAGACCCAGTTGACTAGAGAAGCCCCATCCTCACCCACCTTGATCTCTGTACACCTTCACCTCTAACAGACTGAGTCAGGGGATGAAGCTCACCCGCAGGGTGCCACAGGGACTGAGAGATCTTTTCTTTCTTTTTTTATTGTGATTTGAGTGAAGATTTACAGAGCAAATTCACTTTCTATACAGCAGTTCATACACACTTTGTTTCATGACATTGACCACAACTTACCACAATGCAACAGCTCCCCTCCCACTTCCTCCCCATAGTTACCTCTTCCCTGTGTCCATCCCTCCATGCACTCCTGCCCCCTGAGCTTTCTCCCTGTGCATAAGCATCCCTTCTTTCTCCCATGATTGTTCTCTCCAAGGTGTGTTTGTTTGGCTGGAAACAATAGGTGTGCATTCAATTCCAGACCTGAAGGGCAG